TTTTATGGATACATTAAATGTCAATAGACTAGGCACTAACAAAGGTAAAACTCTCTTTGAAATAAAAGCAAAAAATCTTTATGTAACTTTTAGTGTATTTCTTCATTATTTTTCAGTGAAAGCCACTGATTAAATGACTTAACATAGTATATACAGAAAACCCCAAAAGGCTTTTTTTAACTATTCACAAAATTCTAAGTACGTTATAATGGCATATAGACAAAGATAGGCTTAAAAGCACTTAAATTACCATAGCTTGTAACACTTGTCATTTAACAGTTAAATGATTATTATAATTTCATTTTTGTCTACCTACACAGTAAGCAAATTCTAAAGCACTTTATAGAACCTATATATCACTTTCTTAAAACTTTGCTTTGGTGAACAGAGAGTATGGTAGAGGAAAGTGAAATGAAAGAGGTGGTAGAATAATAAGCTTCCAACCCTTACCTCGTGTCTGAACAACTAAAATCTACTGTCAAAAATTTCAGACAGCCCTCCTTTCCACCAAACACAGTTTGGTTGTTCAACCAAACGCAGAAAATGAGTTGCTCTAAGACTGGTATTTCTGGGTATTCCTCTCACTACAAGCTGTATACATGTTATTAATTATATAGTGTTAAGAATCACAAACAAGAAATGTTAGCAAATGGCTCAAACATATGTATGAATACCTATTTTGCACACTGCCACCTTTATAAACTTAGATGTATCACTGGACTAGAATTATTATGGTTTCAAAAAGTAACCAGACATTTCATCCATGAATATCTCTAGACATTTTAAGTTCAAGTCCTGGCTGTTTGCCACACATCTGCTGTCATTAGCAAAATTAAAACTAATTTTACTAAAATTTTAAACATCTGAATGCTCCTTAAAAACTTAAGGATTCCTTAGCAAATCTCTGCCTCTTAATGAGCTGTTCCTGACTTTATCATGCGATTTGAATTATTCAAAAGTCAATCTCAAACCTTTAAATATACAAATTACCGTTCAATCAAGCAATTACTTGCTGTCTATCTGATGGCTAACAAGGCCTAATCTGGCCTAAACTAATTCTGAAAAATTGAGCCCAAAATAAAACCACCATAAACAATGTATTTCTAATACAAAAATATAAACTAACATTTTTATTCCAGTGTAGAAAAAAGAAACCTAGTTATGGATTTCAACTTCAAGCACTTTGTATAGAGGAACCAACATTAAGTACTTTTTGTGTGAGTCTATGTTAAACTCAGAAGAGCATGATAACGTAATCTGCCCTTAATTATATTATTGCATCACTTGTTTCGTCTCCTATTTTGATGATCTAATAAATACGCTTATTTCTAGAGCTTAGAGACTCACTACATTCTCAATTCTTTCATCCTTTAATATCAAAACTCTCAGTCAATACCCCTGCAGTTCTCCACCGCCAAAAGGAAAGAAATTGGCTGAATTTGCAGAGTAAGCCCAAAGGGAAGATGAGACTTAAGGGAAAGGAAGAAAAACAGGCATCATCATATAAACATGCATATCGGTTTCTCAATGAATCTGTAACATCTTCCCCTGGGAAAGACATCCAACTAAAGAAAAGATAGCCTTGAAATGTTTATTTTTCTTCACTCTCTTCTCCTGAAACTGTACTCTCTTCGGATTTTCTACCTCCCTAGGCTGCTCCTCCTAAAGTATTCTTTGCAGGCTCCTCTTCCATCTGTCCTTACTCATTGGGGGTTTTGTACTAGAAGATTTTATCTCCTCACTCTAAACACTCTCCCTGGACTGTCTCAGATATACCCATATCTTCAGTTACCACCTGGGTATAGCTAACACCTCCTAAATCTGTATGTCCAGGTTAGAATTCTACACCTTCATTCATTTACAAATATTTATTAAACCCCTACTACGTGTAAACCACTGCTCCTTGCACTGGGGTTCCTGCTGTCACTGGGCTTTCAAACAAATGGAAGATAAAGAAGTAAATAAATATTGAAAATACCAGTCAGTAATAAGTACAATCTACACACAGAATTAAAATTAGGATACTACTCATGACTGGCTGGGTGGCCACTTCAGACTGAATGATTGTAAGAATGACTGTGCAGAGCTGACATTCCAACGTAACGTGATGACCGGCAGGGGTCATGTGTAAAGAAGTACACCTTGGAAAGAAAGCAACTAGGGCAAAGGCCTTATAATAAATGAGAAAAAGCAGTATTTGCTGAGAACCGAAAGCAGGCTGGTTCGGATGAAACATAACGAGCGAGCAGAGGGAACGCAGGGGCCCCGGGAGAAGGCCGCCGCCGCCACCCGGTACGAGGCGTGCGGTCTCACGGTGGGATGGTGCGGGGGCAGGCCGCTGGACTGCGCCTTCTTTACTGCACCTCACAGTTAATGTTTTCGTCAACATCAAGACAAGACCCTCCATTAACAAAAAGATTATAACTTGCTGAAGGATCGGATAATACTTAACATTTTTTTAGCAATGAAGTATTTTTAAATTAAGGTATGTACATTTTTTTTAGACATGATACCACTGCACACTAAATAGACTACATAGAGTGTGCCCGCATCTTTTATATGTACTGGGAAACCGCAAAGTTTGTGTGACTCCCTTTATTGCAATATTTGCTTTATGGTGGTGGTCTGGATTGAAACCACAATCTCTGAGGTTTGCCTGCGGTGTATCTAACTGCCTACTAGTCATCTGCTAAGATGTCCAAAGGCACCTACCATTCAGATATCCAAAACTGAATCATCTTCTCAAAGTACTCTGTCTAGCCCTGGTATTCCTAATTTTAGAAACAAATGAAAGCACTACACATTTGCCTGATCCAGTACCCGGGCATTAAATTTTACTTGACCAGCTCCTTCATTCACCCAAATTCAATAACCAAGCCCTAATTGTTCACCTCCTAAATCTCTTGAGTTCATCTATTCCTTTAAAAAATCATTGCCATTAGGAGCCTGGTCCAGAACCTCATTTGTATCACCACTTCCTCTGCGATCCGTTTTCCAGTCTGCAACTAGTTCTCTCTCTAAAATCCGATCAAGTATTTCCTTTACTTAAAATACTCCAGTAGATTTCCATTACCTCCAAAGTCCAAACTCCTGAACAAAACTCTGATCTAATTATTGTTTACATCTTGAGTCTCCAGCCCTTGGAATTTTCAGAACTCCCAATCCCAGCACCAGGTCCTCTACTCAGTAGTTCAATCACACTATATTGCTTGCAGTTTTGCCTTCTCTCTCCACCATTCACCCCTCCAATACATACTTTTCTTTCAGGTCCTTATTTAATTTTTTTTTTAAGATTTTTTATTTATTTATTTTTAGAGAGGGGAAGGGAGGGAGAAAGAGAGAGAGAGAAACATCTCTGCACACCCTACTGGGGACCTGGCCCGAAACCCAGGCATGTGCCCTGACTGGGAATTGAACTGGCAACCCTTTGGTTCACAGGCCAGCACACAATCCACTGAGCCACATCAGCCAGGGCTAAATATTTCTTTATGAAAACCTTTCCTAACCACTCAAGAATTAAGGGTCTCTCTCAAATGCTCCTGCAGCATAAAGTACTTCCCCTATCACAGGACTTACTCTGTAATATTATGTCTGTTTGCTTAATTTTCTGTTTTAGCAATAAAGAGACTATAAACTCAAGGAGTCATTCTCTCGCTGCCAGATAAAAATTACTCAAAAAATACTTCTTGAATAAAATAATGAATAAATAACTTCTTTTTAATGCTGTACAACAAACTAGACCCTGTTAACAAAATCTTTTCAAATGCACTGCTAAACTAGCAAAAAATGTTCTGAATAGGGCAAAAGGAAGGAAAAGCCAGACCTGTATACCTGTATAGAATAAGTGAGCACAGCAAAGCCAGCTTTTTTTTTTCTTCCTGTTGAAGCTCATACTCTGAACTTCTATAGAACTGCATGCTTCAAGGGGCATGAGAGACCAGGGAATAAGACTAGTTCTGCTCAAGATGGAGACATTCAAAAATGAAGTGCCTGTTAACAGAAGACACTCAGGAAAAAAAGCTACACACGTGGTGTTAACTGTGAACTGGAAACAACACACACAGAAGGGAACAGCAGGGGAGCATGCCTGCCTTTACTTTCCTGTTACATAGTGGGGGAAACTCCCCTGAAAGCTCTGAGAACAAACCAGCCCTCATACCAGTTTGCGGTCTGCATTCATGCTACCAATGTGATCTAAAAAATGTAAAGCAGAGAATTTAATGTGGTCCCAAGCTGTACTTCTAGCAGCTAAAAGACAAAAAGCAAACTCTCTATGCAGGACCACAGCTTCAATCCAGAGAGACATAAAAGTGTTCCAAGATATAAAACTGCATAGAAAATGAACAAATCTTGGTTAAAAAAGACACAAATAAGGCATCATGAATGAGAGCAAGAAACAGAGAAAAAGAAAAGATGGTAACCTAGTGCAGACCAAAAGATTTCAGATAGCATAATTCTCTGCAGAATATAAAATAGCTATGTTTAATAAGGCTAAGTAATAAAAGAGAAGTTTGGAAATATAAGCTAGGAACTTGAGACCAACCAAGCAAGGTGAAAAACAAACACTTTCTAAAAAGGAAAAATATAATCATTGAAATTAAAGGCCCAATAAATGTATCAATCAGCAGATTAGAGGTAATAAAAGAGGTAATTAGTAAACTAGGCAGAACTAAAGAAGTAATCCAGAATTCAGGCCAGAATAAAATATAAAAATGAAAGAAATAGAAATATAAAATTCAGTAATAGAAAATATGACAGATTCACACACATGGAAAATAAAGCAAGATGTAACGTCTACAATTAGAGTTCCAGAAGGAGATGATAGAGAAATGGAAAGAGATTTTACTGAAAGAACACAAAATTATAGAATTCCAAAACTGCAGAAAAATATCAATAAAAGTTTTTTACTGGTAAGTTCTGTCAAATATTCAAGGAACAAATATTCTTACACAAACTATTCCAGTATACAGAAAAATTGATTTAAAAAGACTTATACATACCTGCTTCACCAAACGACGGTACTTTTTCCACTCTGAGAGTTTCTGATTCCTGCCCTTCTTTCTGAACATTTGTAGAGTACAGCTTTACTTGACTCAGTGTACAAAAGTATGAGTGACCACAGGGAATCATGTTTGAAAAGCTTCCAAGTCTCACTAAATTCTGCCATTCTAAAAGAAAAAAAAAATTTTCATTTTTAACAGACTCACCAGGATTTTCATACCCAATAAAACATGCCTACTATGATTAGAAAGATTATGGTTTTACAGAACAGTGAAACTTTCATAGTGCAAGATCCCCAAATGTGCAATGCCAAACCACCCTCTCCACTGCCGGCGTTTCCCTGGCCCCTAGGTACACAGGGATTGCATTTTGTAAAGAAAAAATGAAGGATGATATTCCAATTTCCTCTCCTCTGTAAATTTACCCACATGGGAACTTTTAAAATATATTTTAAAATTTCATATTATTCAGCTATTCTGAAAGGCGTCTGGCATATAACAGACACTCTTTATTTTGTATGCTGGTTAATGCCTAAAAAAGTAGGCATAATGTGCTTCTCTTGAGATGGCATGAGGTCAGGAGGGCTTCCTACTCAAAATTAAGCTGTGTCCTCTTTCTGCCAGCTGGAGATTTATTTCTTTCATTTCACAATCATTAAGTGAATTATATTAGTCATTCATACTGTCACTGATTTTTAAAAATCACGTAATTATATCAACATTTGGTGAAATGCTGGTAAAATCCTCAGTATATGGGAATTTTAATTGAGGGAAGAATAGAATATTAATTATGAAGCACGTCAGCTGCTGCATCTGGGTTGGCCATGGACTTTAGAGGACTGAAATACAGGAAAAGAAATAAAAACCATATTCCATACTTGCCACAAAGTGATAGAAAAGCTAATTTGTTTCTACTCTCGTGTGACCCCTCCTTCTTTTATTTTTATAGGAGTACTTAGAGTTCTGTACAAATGAACTCGAAACCTGTCTAGATATAATTTATGTATCTTCTAAAGTTTTAGGTGTATTAATGAAATTATATCCTTAGATAGTTGTTTTTCCAAGAGTGGTGAGTTAAACATTTAAGAGCCAAAGCTTTTCCAAATGTTTAATAATGTTCTTACAAAAACGCTGGTTCACGTATGTGCATGTGCATATATATGCCTTCTGAAATGAAAAAATAAATCTTTTCTTAATGGCTCAATGAATTCATCAGGAATGTAAGTTACTGTAAATGTTGAAGATAATTTAAAAAGCATGAGGGGCACAGGCAGCATTAACTATTCACTCAAGTTTCAGGCTTGGAATTTATCTGCTTTAAAAACTTCCTGATATTAACTTACTTTCATTTATTAAAATATGTAGGCTACTAGCAGAATTAATTTGTGAAGCAAAGGCTAAAGTACATTCTCCCAAGAAACCACCCTCCAGGAAAGCATCTTCACACAGGCCACTGGTGTTGATTTGTCAGCCCCATTCAAAGTATCTTTTGTGATTATTACGTAACAAAGACAATCTGCCACATCATCTTTTTTTTGCCCATTGATGAAATGCTTTCATAGAAGATTGCACTAAAGTATTTAAAGAGGGATTACTACACCATCTAAAATACCCTTCCTCAAAAGATGACAGTGTTTCCATGGCTTGATACTAAATTTTTCCACCTTACATTTTAAAACATTTTATTACAGATAATTTCAAACATGCAAAAGTAGAAAAAAAAAAGCACAATAAACATCCACAAACCTACTGTCCACCTTCAACAAGTACCAATTCATATACAACCTTGTCTCATCTCTACCTACAGCAGTATCTCCTCACCTCCATATTAATTTGATGCAAATCTCAGACAAAAAATAATTTCATTCTTAAACATTTCAGTAAGTATTTTAGAAACAAGAGCTTTTTAAAGTCACACCACCATCACAAGTAAAAAATAATAACTCCTTACTATCAATTTCCAGTTGTTTTATTGTAATTTTTGAGAGTGTGAAGAGATCCTAATAAGGTCCACATACTGTGATTGACTGAGATGTGTCTGAAATCTCTTTTAAGCTACAGCAGGTCTTTTTTGTAAGTTTTTATGTCTCGAAGAGACAAAGCTGTTTGTCCTAAATTTTTGTGCTAGTAGTTTTCCAGGCTAAATTTTGCTGATTTAATTCTGTTGTTTATCCTGTTCTTCTAAATGTTCTATAAATTGATGGATTTAAAGACTTTATCCAAATTCTGGGTTTTTTTTTTTTTAATATTTTATTTATTTATTTTTAGAGGGGAAGGGAGAAAGAGAGAGAAACATCAATGTGTGGTTGCCTCTCAAGCGCCCCCCCACTGGGGGACCTGGCCCGCAACCCAGGCATGTGCCCTGGCTGGGAATCGAACTGGTGACCCTTTGCTTCACAGTCTGGTGCTCAATCCACTAAGTCACACAGTCAGGGCCTCGTTCTTTTTATTAAGACAACACTGTTTGTTAGGAGGTGATAAGTTCTTTCTTCAGAAGCCACATAATATTTGTGATACTGTATGCTGTTGCTCAATGCCTAGAACCACTTATTCATTAGGTGGTTATAAAATGGTGATATTTTAATTTTATCGTTTATCATTAGACTATTTCTACAAAGAAAACATTCTCTTCATTTATTTGGTTATCCAGCAGTACAGTTCATATAGGAAAATCAGGCTAAATGCTTAATAGCTTCCCTTTATCTTCTAGTTCTCAAAATAATGAGTTCATTACCTACCATCCTGCAGTAGTGACACATTAGTTTGTGTGTGCATGGACTGTGATGGCTTCAAAGATCTAAGCATTATTTGATATATTTCTAACCATTTTAGTCATTATCCTGATTAATGCTCGAATGGTCCCATTTTTGGCTGGTATTCTCTTCAAATTGACTCCTGTGTCTGTTCACCACACTATCCTAGTATCTTTGACAGCTTCCTTGCTGTTTCGAAAAGTCCTTAATTTTTAACTTCAGGAGAATTTCAGGTGTCAGCAACTTTAAAGTAAACATTTGGCATTATAACAAAATCGAAAATTGCACAGAACTTACAGGGTGCATTACTACTTTTAACATTTTATAGCCTAAAAAATACATAGGACTACATTTGAGTCAATAAAGCAAATATAATACCAAACACACAGCAGTAGAAACACAAACATCCATTTAGGTAGTGACAACGACTGAATACAAACAGGACCAGAGTCAAATGTATCCTCTAAGTCTTCCAGGGGTCAACCTCGTTACTTACAATTGTTTTTCCCAAAATTTCTAAAGCACTGACATTAAAAACTAAGTCATTGTTATTAAATCACTTATTTTTAAAGAGATTAGTAATTGTGAATTTAAAATACACAATAAGCAGAGTAGCACAGCAGAAGCTTTCCAGATCCATAAAATAGACCATGTAATACAGAATGCGTAAACTGCTCTTCATGGTATTACTTATCACAGCAAAAACCGGGAACAACTTAAGTGTTCCCCAAAGGCATGATGAAGTTCTACGCGTGTTTTATACATAACTTAGGGTACACATTTGACTCTTCGTCCTATTTGTTTTTAGTTGTTACTACCTAAGCAACATACAAAGTACACACAACTGTCAGTTTACAAGGGAGAAAAAGTGTTTATGATGTTTGTTGCTAATGTCTGAAAAAGAAGGCCAAATTTCCTCTGAAAGCCAGAGTAAATGGTAGGCGACAAACCAGACTGAGGAGAGGACAAGTGATGATCACTAGCAGAGGTCATTAGGGTTTTTTTTTATATATATATATAATATTTTTATTGTATATTCATTAAAAACTTTTAATAATATGTAAAAGTACTCATGTTATAGTATTTTTACAGGAGACAAAATAATACATATGAATTTGCCTATTACAAATGTGACTGGGGAAATATCTGGATTCTGTATAATTTTTTCTCTATACCTCATACTTTTCTACATTTTTTCAAAAAAAAAAGCCTAAATTTTAAAAACAAAAAATATTTACATTGCTAAATTACTTTTAATAGCATTACTGCTAATATTAACACACTATTTCTAGTTTACTTTCATGCTTTTGGCTAGGCAAAAATGCAGGAAAATCCCTTCTATGCATCATCACCTAGCAAGCAAAAGTGTGACCTTAGAGGGGTAGCCCAACCTAGAAGACTATTGCTGACGTGATTTTTCTCCATCAACAGAGTAAGAGAATCCTTCCCTCCCCGACACCGCCCCCTGCCCAAGTAAAGAATATGAGATGCTGGCAACTTCTTTCGGCATTGCCTCTTGGCATACATCTCCACTGCCCTGCTTAATTCTTGTTAATATTTGTTTTAAAAAAGGAAAAACAGCAACAACAGAAAAGATGGAGTCCCAGGCCAGCATTTCCAATGAGACAGCCCTTGCTGGCTACTTTTCAGCCCATTACTCCGCATATTTCTTGTACTATGCTTGTGTCTTCTCATTCCTAGTGTCTGGCAAATAAAGGTGGAAACTGTCTGTCCTGTTCAGCACTATACCACCAGCAACTACAATGCCTGGCAAGTCTTTACTGAATGATCCTCATTCACAAAACCCCTATGATGCACATACTAAGGTTACCCTCATTTTACAAGTTATAAATTCTATCATTAACTTGAACTGCACAGAATCATGCTGTCAGTCTGCCAAAATGACCTTTTGCAATTGCCAATGTTCCTGTTAGTTACTTAAGGGAGGGGGTGCTGGAGACAAGAATTAAATTGTTAAAATTACTACTTTACTTTTCTTATAGCAATAAATATGAGCACATAAGACACAGATATAAAATACAAAGGTTTAATTTCTATCTTTTTACTTAAAAACTCCACTTTCATGAATCTCACATTTAAGTAAAAGCATGTAACTGTTATTTTGCAGTAACTAAAAGGGGCATCCTCTGACCTCAAATTTTTATCACATGAAGCAAGGCATAAATACATGAAAAAAAATAAGCAAGTACTCTATGCAAAGCCAAAGAAACTTAAAAAGAATATACAAGGGGGGACCAAAAAATTGAAATTTATTCCTAAAAAACTGTGTATTTATTCTTACACGTTTAAATTCGGTCACCTTCAAAGTACTTTCCATTTGATGCAATACACCTATCAAGACATTTTTTCCACTGCTCAAAACAGTGTTTAAACTCATGGATTTTGATGCTTTTTTAGTGAATGTTTCTGCTGTTCCTTGTTTCACTTCTTCCACATCACCACACCTTTCCCTATCACGGTTTTTTTCATCCTGGGAAACAAAAAAAAAGTTGCTAATATGGAGGGTGGGGCAGGGGTTGGGGTCGGAGGAGCTCATGCCTTTTTTTGGTCAAAAACTGCTCACACGCAGCTCAGTGTGGATGGGGCACTAGTAAATCAGTTCTTGTAAATCACCCACCATGAAGTGGGCAAACAAATTGAGTCCTCAAAAACAAAAAAAAAATATGCTGAGGCCAAACACAGGCTCTCACAACAAAGCCAGCTGGTACACGGATGCACCCGAGTTCCTAGAACACTCAGCAGGGGAAGCCTGTACTACAAGAGGCCTGCCCTCCAGAAGATAATTATGTTTTTGGGGGGGGTCTCCCCTCTATTTACTATGGAAACTAAGTAACATTTTTATTATTTATAACAGCAGTCCCCAACCTCTTTGGCACCTGGACAGGAGGCAGAGCTCAGTTGGTAATGCAAGCAAAGCTTCACTTGATTGCCCACCACTCACCTCCAGCTGTGTGGCCGTTTCTAACAGGCCAAGGACCAGTACCAGTCCACGGCCTGGGGGTCGGGGACCCCTGATTTAAAAGTATATGTTTGGTCATCCCTATATGCCAAGGTTGTGGGTTCAATCCCTGGTCAGGGCACATACAAGACTCAACTAATGAATTCATAAATAAATGGAACAACAAACAGATGTTTCTCTCTCTCTCTCTCCCCCCCCCCTAAAGATCAATAAAATAAAATTAAAAAAATAAAAGTATATGTTTATTGTAGATCATCTGAAAACCATATAAAGTTTAAAAAAAAATTTTAACAGCTCTGGCCAGGTAGCTCAGTTGGTTAGAATGTTGTCCTGATACACGAAGGTTGCGGGTTGGATCTCAGGTCAAGGTATACACAAGAATCAACCAATGAATGCAAAAAAAAAAGGGCAAGAACAAACTAATGTTTCTCTCTAAAATCAATGAAAATGTTTAAAAATTTTTCTAAAGAGATTCATGATATCACATATAGTCTTACTAATTTTTTTCTAGTTTTAACTGATATAGCACATCAAGAACATCTTCCTATGACACCAGATATTCTAAATTATTATTTTTAAAAATAGTGGTATACATTACCAGTCCATACTAAATGTACCATAATATGGATAAATCCCTTTAAGTAAAATTGATGGGTCAGAAGGCAAAAACCTTTAAAGTTCTTTTTATAGAAAGAATAACTGACCTCTAAAACACTGTTCAACTGTATGTCCCGATCAGCAGTAAGAGAGTCCCTGTCTTCCTGCAACATCAACTTGAGGTATCATTATGAAAAATGTAACCAATACAGACAGGCAATGAGCAGTAAAACCTTAAACTTACATTTCTTTTCATTAGTGAGCATAAAACATTTTTTGCATTTTTATCAGCCACTTAAACTCCTTTATGAATTCCCTATTCGTTTCCTTTGCCCATTTTTCTACTGGAATGTATACTGGTTTATAAAAACTATTTATAAATTGGGGTTACTAACTCTATAACTGCACTGTCCAATACAGCAGTTACTGTTAACTGAACACTTGAAATGTGGCTCCTCTGAACTAAGATGTGCTTTAAGTGTAATAAAATATACATGTAATTGTATTTTACAATTAGTAAAAGTTTAGTACAAAAAATGTGAAATATCTCAATAACTTTAATATTGATTACATGTTGAAATATTTTAAATATACTGGATAAAATATATTATAAACATTAGTTTCATTTGTTTCTATTTTTAAAAACACAACTATCAGATAACTGAAAATTACATACATGGCTCACATAATTCTTTGGAGAATGCTGCTCTAGAATACTGTTTTCCTTTTCACCTTTAAATATTTTTAGTGTTAGTTTGACAAACAAGCATTTCTCATTTTAAGTATGCAAAAAAGCAATTGCTTCTCTCACAGATTTCTCCTCTCCTCATTCTGCATTAACATTTCCCCAACCCCATATTCTCCCACACAGGAATTTTAGAAGCACAAACTAAACTGTATTTCTTTAAGAAAAATATCTGCTTTTAGAAATATTTCCCAAAAGCTCTTTAAATATTCGTCTTACAGGCACCCAACTTAAACAGTACTCTTTTTCTAAATGATTTTTAAATATTACCATAATTATGACAGTCCTTTTAAAAAGTTTCAGTATTACTGAAAATAAATTTTCACAAACAAGGTTATTTTTAAAACCTACTAGGTGTTTTTAAGTGTGAAACACATTTTAATTTTTCAGTAATAAACATTCCATTTTGGTGGTAAACATTCCAAAGAATTCTGCAAAGTCATTCTGATGAGATAATTATATTATCTATGGTTCACAGATTGATAAAACAAATTTTTGACGTGACAGCTACAGACAACAGGGATTACAAATTACACTCTTTCAACTCCTTTTAACCGACACTTAAAGGGCACTTCAGCCTAAATTCAACAACCACTACACCTAATTTAAGTGTAAAATGCAGAAATTGCTTGGTCAATAGAAGCGTTTACCTGGGTATTTTGGAGTATAAACAAATGATTCGTTTTGTTCATAAAACAACGAGGTATATTGCCAATAAGAAAAACTCAGTAATTACACTTTTCCATCACCTCCAAAAAGCCCCAAGAACATTTTCTAAAATTTTAGGAGTCAGTTTTTCCATCACCACCGAAAAGCCCCAAGAACATTTCTAAAATTTTAGGAGCCAGTTTTTACATTTATTGCAAATAAGAAATACAAATATATTCTTATTTGCACAGCAAAGGCGTTACCGTAGCTTTTAACATAAATTTGAATGAATTGGTTGCAATTTCCAACTTCTATTGCGAGGTCACAAAAATGCTACGTTTTCCAAACATGAATTTTTGAGAAATGTTTCTGTAAATACCCTTTGCATCCCCATGAATCTGAGGGATTAGATCAGGGGTGCGTTTGGTTCAAACTTCTCCCTCATTGTGCCTTTCATTGTTCTTAAGTGTCAAGCCACGGAATGCCAATGAATGGAAGAAACGGAGATAAGCCTGATCAAAACAAGTTGAATGTTATTTTGGAAACTATGGGACAATTTGAGTCAGAAAAAAAAATTGAGTCAAAAAAAAAAAAAAAGTATTTGTATTCGGCTACAAATACTCAGTGAAGGTGAGTCGGTGAGCTCAGAAGACCCTGGACTTTCGTAGAGCCGGTTATGTCCCTCTGCCTAGGGTGTGTGTGTGTGTGGCAGGGGATGGAGGTGTCACCGTCGGACACAGCCATGCACATGTGTTTTATTTGGCACGAAGTGGTCGGCTTCACGGCTGTAACCCGGCTGCTGGTTGCACGCAAGTTTCAGCGGAACCTGGGCTGGTATCGTAGACGAGACTAGAGTCAGGAGCCCCCGAGGCTGGCCGGGCCGAAATGCAAACGCCCAGACCCGAAAGGGGTAGAGATTGGGGGATGGGGAAGAGCTAGCGGGCGTACTGCCCGAAACGAGGCGGCACAGCGCCAGGCTCGGCCTGGTCCTCCAGCCCGGCTTCCGCGGAGTCAGCGGCCGGGGCAGGACACTCACCCTGGCGCTCGCTGGAGCCACGGGCCGCCGCCCTGCAGCGCAGACGGAGCCGGCACAGGGAGGACCAGCTACATCTGTGGGCCGCAGCGGCGGCGGCCAAGCCCGGTAACATCCTGGCGGGGCGAAGGCCCCTACTCGTTCACTGCCTCCTGCCTCCGCGCTGCCGCCAGCATCAACTGACTCCATAGACCGGGAACCAGCGAGCAGCGACTCCTGCGCCGCCGCGGGCGGCCTCTATAACCCGGAAATAGGCAACGCAACGTTATTTATCGGCGCCCGCCGCGGAGGCGGCGGAAGTGACGTAAGCGAATCGCCAGGCTCTGCGTCCGCGGGACTGGACAGGGTGGCATCAGTAGGGCGTGGCTGCAGTTGAATTTTAGAGTGTAATCTTTGTCTTCCTTTGCACGTGCACTTTTATGCCTTGCTTGGGAATCACCGCGTAAATTGTTTGCAACTTAATAGCCAAGAAAGCCGTGAGAGAAGTGACAGTCTTTGGGGGCTTTTGGGTGCTTTTCTTTTTCCGGGCTCGAAACCTAGGGCGTGTGTCGGAAGTGAGAGGGAAGTAAGGAAGGAAGGACGCTGGTCTTCTGATTCTTTCTACGGAACCTCCTGTGTAAGCCCAGAGGGAGGCCAACGTGTCTTCAGTACTTTCCGAACCTTTACTAAAGTACATCGTTGTTCACCTCTAATATATCATTGTGTACGTGGTACCATGAAGACAGGGAGCCACTGCGGAATCAGCACCTTGCCCTACTAACCCCTGAACCTCAGATTTTCGTAAATACAATAGAATAAGACTTCTATGAATTCAAGATTTGTTTGCATAATCACAGATGTGCAGACATCGAAACAAATCAGCCTGGTCCTAGAGAGAAAAAGACCAGAGCAATATTTGCCCCAGCTTTAACTGTACCTCTGACATGCTCATACAGATCTTAGCACAAACTCAAGAGAGGACTTTCTTGACCATCTTTTGCTGAAGAAGGCCTGGTTATGTTCTGCCTTGTTGCCCTGTATACAATTCTTCAAGATTCTTATCACTATGTGAAACCAGAACAGAAAATAAAACATCATGATCGTGGCATCTTTTGTTTTGCACATTGCTATTTTCCAGGGGCCAAAACAATGTCTGGCGCAAATAAATGGATTGAATGGAATGCAGGGTAGTTTGTTTCAGTCTGTGCCACTTAACTATATTACTATTTCAAGGGGAAATAAATTAGCATGTTCCTAATTTTAAGAGATCAACAGTCTTTTATGCTAAGTATAACCAGATCAGTGAAGGCACAGTGATTAAATTATCACGAAATTGGTAAGCAGATTTAACTTCCTAAGACAAACAGCTTAAACATTAGTGGTTAAATATTTAAAAATGCTGTTTGACCACCATCTGCTCTTCTCTTTCAGTATCCCCCATACTTACCTCCTCCCTTTACTCATGGAGCTGATCTCACCCACACCTGCCAGGCTGGAGTCAGGCAAACCCAGTCGTAGACTATAAAACTAAATGCACTGTGCTTAGCACCATGTCTGGTCCAATTGAACAGGCAGCTACAGCGTGGCCCACTGCTTGCCCAGATATGCTTGGGTCCCACTTTTGCTTCCAGAGAGGGCCTTTTCTGTCTGACCATCCAGGCATCAAACCTGCAACCCAACCATGTGCCTTACCAGGAATTGAGCCGGCGACCTTTTGCTTTGCGAATGACACCCAGGCAACTGAGCCACATGGGTCAATGCCAAAATACCAATTTGTTTCATTAATAGTAGCCTTTGTGTTTTGTTTAGGAAATTTGTGCCTAATCCATGGTACTTGTGAAGTTTTTGGGGTGTTTTCAAGAAGAGGAGACTGGTATTTCCATCCTGATCTGGATGTTTGCTTTAGCCACCAAGCTTGCTGAAGCTTGTGAATTTGGAGGAAATTTTGAGCATTCTGTGAGAGATGGTACAGGGACCAGAATTCCTGTGACATACACTTTGGATCTTGTCTGATCCTACAGACCTCAGAGTTGGAATCACAAAGAATAAATGAGATTGGGGGCTGTAACACCACAACAGGCAGCAAGAAGTGTGTGTGTATCGAATAAATGTAGTTCACCACCACTAGATGGGAGTCAGCTGACAGACGCAGCAAGTCTTGCACGGAGCTACAGAAAGGGCTCCTTGGGATTGAGTTTCTCAATGGGGGCTGTTGAGATTCCCATACATCCTCACTGACAATGAGCTAGATAAGGCACAATGACCTACTGAAAGGGGAACCTTACCAGTCAGGCACTTACAGTGTTGCCTGTTTTCTTTCTATTTTAAATTTTTGACCCCACCATCAGATGAGCAAGTAGGCTTTCCCTTTAAATGTTAAATGACTTTTGACTTACATTCTTACAAGGCTATCTCATCCTTTAGGATCCTTTCCCTCTTACAGGAATCTACATGCTGTGTCCGCAATGTCGTACTCAGTTTCCTCACCCACCATCTCCTCCCCTTTTCGTATGTACCCTCACAGTTCTGCTCCTCCAGCCCTCCACCTGCCTGGCCAGCGCAAGGTCCCATGTTCCCCAGCCTAGGCCCATCATTCTGCCTTTGCAACAGTAGTTCTCAACCAGTGGCAGTGTCTGAAGACATTTTGATTCTCACAATGGGATACTACTGGCATCTAGTGGGCAGAGGCCAAAGATGCTGCCAAACATCCTCCAAAGAGGCACAGGGTGGCCTGTTAGAACAAAGAATTACACCCTCAAGATGTCAGAAAAGAAACCCTGCTTCTCTCTTACAGTCACAATTCAGAACTACATATTAAAGGCAACGTCCATCAGTTTCTACCTAATGTGTGTGCATGTGTACATTACATCGTTTTTAAATCCCTAAATCCTTATACATGCATCTTGATACTGACAGTTTTTCCCATCCACCAGCTCTGCCCCGTCTTCCCGACTTGAGCGTCACTGCTGGGAATCAGGGAGAGAGGACTAGGAGGTAAGAGTCCTCCTCCTCTTGCCTCAGATACCTACACAAGTGGGATAGGAAGGTAAAAAGATAAACAGGCCTAGCTTCTTGCTCTATTCTATTCTCAGCCTTTAGCAAACATACCTTCCAAATATGTCAACAGCGTGAACAACTTCATTAGCGCTGTCCTCTTCCCACCCGTGTTAGGGCACTTTCTCCTGACACCTCCAACAGTCCTTTTCTTGTCCTTGGGTAGCTTGCTGGATATATTTTGGTCTGGCATGTATATTTATCAGATTTTTGTAAAATTTTACACCAATTATTTGCTCTTTAAAATATCCAGACCTTTACTTTTTAGCCTGTTTCTTAAAAACGTAAGTTGAATTGAGTCCATTTTGGTATTAATTTTGGCTGTGCTATATTTACTTCTGGATACAAGCAGTTCTAGAGAAATGTAACAGAAGGAAAAGAACCTTGTTCCTGCCCTGTTTCCTGGTTAAGAAGGAGCCCACTTGGTGAAGGGAGGCCAAAGCCTGGTTTGTAACAAACCAAATATATGCCCTTGAATGCTGAGGCCTGAAGAGTGCCCACGATGTAGTAAAACAAGTTTGACTGTGGCTTTGGCTTATTTACAATAAGGAATAAATCAATTGAAGAATTTCACATTTCTCTTTGTATTTAAACAAAAGTAGATCATTAAGAGCCATGAGACTGTCCAAAGAATTGGGCTAATCACTAAACCCACATGGCTATGACAAATGAATTGCAATCAAGGCCAGAGTACAACAAAATAATTATTCATTAACTTGCAGTGTAGCATCTGCTACATGTTATTTCAGCAACTGAATTATCAGTAATGACAGTGAATTCTAAATTTGTGTCTAATAATCTAGCAGTTATTCCTGTTCCATACTTGCAATAAAAAAAAAGAAAAAAGAAAATTTCTTGAAAAAGTGGTTGAATGATGTCAAGGCTAGTTAAGGAATCTAATACACGATTTGAACTGGGTGGCAGGCTGCTCACTGAACCTGGCTGTTGAATACAGTGGTTTTTATGGTAACAGGTGAGAAGCTCTGAGACAGCCCCAATATTTTACACCCTTGCTTTTGTTTTCTTTTTTTTTCTTTCTTTCTGATAATGGGCTCATACTCTTATTCCTTTTACATAAGGAAAGAAAGCATCAGATTGTTTAGTCACTCTAACCACTGGCCAAAAAAGTACAAGTCCATGATGGAAACCATACTCTAGGCAATGGGTTTAGGCTATTTACAAGGATGTCAAAAGAAAAAATATGCAACTGATAAAGCTTAGAACCAAGGTCAAGAATGAAGACATATGAATTTGAAAGTGGACAGATCGTTTAACAGTTGCTATTGAAAACATTCTGGATTAAACATCAAGTTTTTAAGTAAATTGAGGTCTTCTGATCTGGAATTTTTTAAATTATAGAACTCAGTGCCAATGAAGGACATTTATATCTTGAGGCTGCCCAGCCTATTCTGAATGCACTTCCAATATCAGGGGAATTTCCAGCTTTGTGGGCTTGCCTCCCCAAGATAGATATTTGGAATTTGCTCTCCCAGGCTCCTTTGCAGCTAGGGCCCACAGATGAGATAGAGGCTCTATGCAACCATCAGAAAGGCTTCAAACTGAAAAGAAAAATGGGAAAAGCAAGGCATCTCATGGAATACCTTTGGGAGAGGGAGGAGATAGTAGGCAAAGATACATGCAGTTTTCAGAGGTAATAGGGACATAAACCAGGAGTACCCCATCAATAATGATGACTGTCTCCGATGGAAACTGCAGTAAGCAGCTGCACTCCCAAGCCTGATTCTCCCCTTTCTGGATTTTGTTAGCTACTCAATATCCTATTTTTAAAAATCCTTTTCTGTTCAACTAACTAGAATGGATTTTGTTCAAGTAATCTATGTGCATTCACTGAGTGCCTTCTATATTCTAGGAACTGGCTTTTAGCAATGAAAAAGCAGAAAATGATTCTTGTCCTAATGAAGCCTACGCTCCGGCAGGGGAGACGGGTGACAAAAGAAATAAATAACATGGTAATTCTATGTGTTGTATGATAAGCACTAGAAGACAATGGTAAGTACTACTAGGGAAAATAAAGCGCGAGAGAAGAAATGCTCCAATTGTTTCTGCTATTGATAGTGGGCAGGCTTCAGGATTTGAGTATGCATGAGGCAGGGGGAGGGGAGTCCACCTGGGGGTCAGACCCCCAGCTGAAATGTCTAATGCAATTAGATCTTTCCTCATTACACTGATACTTTTTCTACTTCTCT